GTTAACTGTCCTCTTCCTGGTACCCCATATGAAACCCCAACCAGAGGGCTGCTTAGTATCTCAGGTCTGAGGTTCTAATAACAAGGTGGCTCCATGCAAGTGTACAATGTGGGCAAAGTAGAAGACCATTAACCCCTCTCCCTGACTATCCTTGGCTTCCGTTGTTTGATGTTGTACTAATAAAAACGAAACTTCACAGTGGTTTTATGTGCTGATATGATCATGTTGATCATACACATTGTTCCAAACTTTTGGTTCAAATCAATACATTCAAGTCATATGGTGAATAGGATGAGTGCTTGGGGTGGGGGATTAAAAGTGTTTCAATGTTAGCATAGATCTTGCTATTGCTGTTCTTGAACAGTTGACTTGTTCATTAGAGACATAATACGAAAAACTGAGCTAAGATTATTTGCTGCAATTTTGAGACAATGCACAAGGCTAAGACAGTGTAAGCAGTTCAAGCTTATGCAGTTTATAGCTCAGAATGAAAATGTTTACCTACTGAGAGAAATCACGGGTTTTTTAGCTGCTCAATACTTTGCAGACATATGCATACGTATACAGGCACAGGGTTTGCAAATACATGTATACGTTTCAGCATGAATTATGTATTGTAATATTGAACATGCCCCAAAAGTCTCCATTTGTTTTTATTGATGGAATGGTTTTCATTAAAGTTCTGCTTGTAAGAATCTTTAAACAGAACATTGTGATAGCCAAACTGATGCTGAAAAGTTTGTGGATTGATCTTCACCAAATCCCGGTCAGTAATTTCAAATGATCAAAGCTTAGTCCAAGGGATGAACGGATAAAGGATGAAAGAGCTGGGCAAACCTCTTCCTAATCCCAAACACGTGCAGCCCACTCGCCTTTTTTCAATCTACAAAGCAAATTGACATTTCGCTAAGTCCTTTGCAGGAGGCAAATGGACTGTGCTACGTGTGCTTCCTGGCAATGCTGCCCCCTGAGGCATCCTCTAGTCTCTTGACTGAATGTTGGAGCAATTTATATTTGCCGAATCAAATGAAATAGGCAGCTTATCATATTCCAATCCTCCTGCACCTGAAACATATGGGATATATCAGTCGGTGCATTTTGCCAACAAGCAAGGCAGGCTGTAACATAGCCAAAGGGGTATAGCCCCCACATATATATGTATATATTAAAAAGAAAACTGCTACATGTATGTATGTTTCATGTGTCTGATATGGTCAGGTCTGCTGAATTTAAGCACAAACATTAATGAGAGTTTAACAACTGAAATGGTTAGAAATGATCACAGCTGGACAGTTGATTTAATCATCCTCAAGACAACTGTTAGAGTGGAAATCACTATGTAAGGCAATCTGGAATAAAATGAAGTAGGGCAAGGCAGGGTAGGGGCAGTTGGGGGAAGGATGTGGTCTGGGCAGGACAGTGAAGGGAAAAGGATATGGCAGAGCTGACAGCACAAAAACGAGGAAAGTCCTGGGAAAGAAAACTGATTCAACTGGACCACATTGCAAAATGGGAGGGGGGGATTTCCGGCTAAACCAGGGTAAGGCTAGGAACAATGCAGGGCGGGTTAGGATAAAGCTGAATGTACAAGCTTGACAAGGACAGGGAGGGAAGGCGTGGCTGTAAGTAAGACACTGATGATACAGCCAGACAGGGAAAGGTGGGGTGGGGGATGTACATGTAGCATGACAGTGCTCAGGCGAAGCTGAGGCATGATCAGGCAATGCCAGCCTGGTCAGGGCAGGCATACCGGTACCGGTACTTTGGAGGATTCACAGCAGATCTTACCTTGGGTTGTTTTGCCAAGTATGCACCAAGCTTCAGCATCAGTGCCAGACATTCTGGAGCCTTAATTTGAACAAGAATAATGGATAAGTGAAAAATTTGAAGATACCTATGCCGACGGAGCTTAGAAAGCTGGCTGTGGTGAATGAGGCTGTTTTTCTTTCTCTCATCCAACATAAATATAACCCTCTCCCATCATGGCTTTGCCCTGGCTTGAAGTCCAGGGGTAATAAGTGGACATGAATGCCAACAGATGTGAATGTTTTTGAAATTGATGTCAGAATTGTATAGTTATTATTTGGGGAACTGTAAATATGTGAAATTGGAAGTTGATGCCTAGTTTTCTTATTTTCATTTCACAGTGAAGAGCTACACAGCTCTTACCAGACTCTGAATGGGCTCGCTGGTCTCGTACTCTTCTAGACGGGAGGCTGGAAGGTTCAGCACTCGGAAGCTCCACTGGCTGAATAGCCTGGTGGGCACATTGCTGGAGATGACAAGGATCTTGCTCTGAGAGATGAGGGTCTGGTCACCGGCTTCCTCCACAATCCCCAGGTCCCGGATGAGGGCCATCAGCATCTCACTTGAAGACTGTAAATTTGGAGGGAAAAAAAATCGTTTAAGATGTATGTGTTTCTGCCTTTCTGAGTGCTTTTGCTTAACCTGCAGCCACTTTCATGAAACTTTACGCAATGACGCAACTCCACTTACGCCACATTTTATTACGTAAGTTGCACGACAAATTAAGACTGATTTCACAAAACTTATGCACTGTGTAAGTCTATGACTTACGCAACATATTATGGTGTAACTTACCCAGTCATTTTAGGTGGCATAAGTTGCGCCAAACAAAGCAAAAATTAACAATTTGATAGATTATCGTGTTCAGTTAAGCCTCATCATTGCTCAACTTAAAAAGGCTTAAACTTTGTTGTACAAGGTAATGAAAAACTCATTTGGCTGTGAGAGAACGGCGAGATTTTCTGTCCGGTTCTGGCGAAGAAAAAGACGAAAACTTTTTCAAATTGGTGGGCAATGGTGATTCAATGTCTGTTTGATGACTGTTGTTATATTGGAAAGGAACAGCTGTCACAAGCCCTTTTGTGTCCTTGTCCAAGAATGTAATATTATTGAAACATGGCGCAGCCACTCAACTTCGTGAAATCAAACATAATTATATTGCGCAATTACGGCATAGATTTGTGACACAACGTTTAAAGTTACTCCACTCTTCATGAAATTGGTTGCTGGGGCAGAGCCTCAAAATGGTGTTTCCATTTCCCCATCGATCCCGGCTATTCATGCCTAGTACCATCAAATTCAAAATGCATTGTCATTTTCTGCGAGAAGATGCAGATAAACTGTCTACACTGCCATTGGAATATCAGGGGCCCATCTAGAATATAACAAATTCCAAGCTAAAGAGCCTCAGTTCTTGAAAGAAGTAGGCAGAGTTTATTTTAATTTCAGGATTTTTATACATCAACTGGTTGACTGGCATGAGAAAGTAAGTGTTCTGATGTGGGAAATGTTTACATGTGCATGAGGAAACAAGTTCCAGAGCAACTCATTCCATCTGTGAAAATCTTCCACTTTGAAAGCACTGTAATCCACAATGGGGCAGATTAAGAGAAAAAAGACTGTTTGTTTTGAGATGCCATATACATGTATGTACACGTACATGTACATGTACTGTTTTACAAAATTTTCCCACCTCAACAAGATGCACGTAGTGATTAGGATAGACCAGCAGCATTCCTGTGGCTCCTTCACCCTGGAAATGTGACTGCCATTGCTTAAACTTCTTCTCATAATGAGCTGTTAAAAAAAATCGAAAGAGAAGGCAGAAAGCACTTTAGATCACGATTCCAGCCTGTTAATCTCTGAAATCTTGTCTTGAATCTGAGAGTAACCCGGTATTACAACAACTCTTTTTATTTAATTTTGATATTGTGTTACTGCCTTGGCCCATGATATTTGTAATCTTACAAGATTACAAAAAGGTACTTTACACAAAGTACATGTATGCTTTTTAACATAATTTTGTAATTTTACTGCTCATGGCATCAGTTACATGTACCTCCAAGATCTCGTTTGTCATCCAGTCGTTCACTGAGTCTAGCTATGTAGACAAGTCTGTGGAGGAGAGCTTTCTGTAATAAAAAATAAAATAATTTGTGCAAAGAATTGGGATATAAAGATTAAACATGTCTGTTTTTTATGGCTTTGGATTCCAAAAATAAATGTAATAATATAAAATAAAAAGAAGAATGAAATAAAATAAAATTAAATAACATAAAATTACATGTACATCAAATGGAATGAAATTGAATTGCCAATTCCCTAGTGTTGCAATTGCCAATTCTCTAATGTTAGATAATGGAATTGAACAGTAAATTGACTCATGATTAAGGAACATTTCAAATTAGCAAAAAAAATCCTTTTAAATTTGGTAGTACATGTACATTCACAGAACCGTCATGCTATTGAAAGCATTCTTTTGGTGAATGGACTTAATGGAATACACAGAGTTGTAAAAGTAATTTCGTTCAAGTACATTTCTCTAATTCAAAACCAAAGTAAGCAATTTTTCCCAGCAATTTGTTCTGACCAAATCCACTGTGTGAAAGTTTCAGCAGAGCATGGAAGACCTGCAAAAGATTGTAATTTAAAATGAATGAAACCACAATTAACAATTGCTTCAAACATGCCGAAATAAAGATGTACCAACAAATTGAAAACGGATACTTTGGTGCTGAACTGAATTCATTTTGTTATTGAAATCTAAGGGAGTTAGGTTGGCAATGTGGTGCTATCATTCCCTTCTAGCTCTGTGACCCAGGATCAATTCCCACCCCGGCCAACACATGGATTGATATTCAATTTTCTTCCCATTTTGGGTTTGATTCCTGTATTATTTAGGTTATTCTCCAGCTTTTTTCAAAGTAAACAATTTTGTACATGTGTGTTCTCTTTTCTCTGCGCAGGCCATCTCTCACAAATCAATTGATGGAAAGTGCACAGAAGAGTGTGAGCCATAATTGGCTTATTTGCTCCTTGTGAACACTGCAAGATCACAATCTAAATTCATTTTTTTTCACTTCAGAAAATCTTAAGAAAATCGAGTTTGCCACAAAATACAAATGCTTGATTTACTAAAGAAATTCAGGGGAAAAAACTTCCAGCACAAGTGACCAAAACATTAAAAGCAAGGATAACAATCAGATGGATCCAAAATACATGTAACAAAAGAAGTGAACAAGTGAGAAAGACTGATGGGACAACTGATAACTTGAACACTGTACCCTGTTTGCATCAAATCTCTGTGCCCTGTTCATAACTGCATCCAACATGGTCATTCTGTGTTCAGGGAAGACACTATCAGCATCATCATCATTATCACTCCAATGCTTGCCACTGCCTGGCTTCTTGGCCATCATTCCACGGTCTCCTCTAGATTTTCTCCCTCTCACAGATGACCTTTTCTATTACATGTATTACTGAATGTACCCTGTATGGTCTACAATCCTGTGCAATGCTGAATTCACGAGTGACCATCCAAAGTTTAGAGATGCCAGTGCAGGACTTGACGATTAGCAGGGATTGAAAGACTGGATGCAAAAGATTGTTGTCCCAAGAAGCTCTGGATTAAACAAAGTGGTGAATGGGCATTTCTGTGTACCACAAGTATGTATTGTTAAAATCCTATCATCTCTGAAGAAAAGGGCAAACCAAAAAGAAATCAGATGGTTCCCTGCAGTCCCTGTCTTTGAGGATGATGAATGAAACTCTCGTTTCTGACCATTTGAATAACAAATGCTGACAATTTGGAGTGTACTTCCTTTGGGCAACATGCAGCTTTATTGGGTGAAGTTTTGCAGCTTGGGAGGTCACTTCAGTCTGTTACTTTCTACATGTACATGTAGCTTTCAGCATACATGCAAGTGTATGGTGTACTAGTGTAATTGGTGTTACCATGGTGATTTATTTTAATTAATACTGTATTGGTGCTCTGGACCACTTCTCCTTTTCCTGATTTTTCAGCTACTTGTACGATTCCTGTGACACCAATCAGTCTAAGATACATGTAGGTAAAACTGTGCCTGTTCAAACTCGGACCAATCAGTTACTATGCCTCGGGTGCTCTGTCAATTTCACACTAAACATCAAATGCATCAGATAGTTTGCAATCCAGGTCTCAAGAAATTCAGGCGAGTAATGACCGCTTGAGAGAGATAGAAATGTGGCTAGAAGCCAAATCAGCACTCAGATCTACAGTGGCAATGTGCCCAACTTTCTCCTGCAGCAAAAAGCCTAGTCTCCTGCAACTCTGAGAAAAAGGTGATCTCCAGTGCATCCAATCATTAAGGTCTCCATGCAACCATCATGGCATCTGTCCAGTAGATAAGAATCTTTTAAAACAAGATGAATGCAAGCATGCAATCAACTGATAGATCCAGAGTTGATGCATCCACAGGCTCGTGAATCCAAGTCTGAGATGTGTATGCAATGTACATATATGTACAGGTATGCATCTCTCAAGGTCTTAAACTAAAGGCGAGTCCAACACCAATTACAACTCTGCCCATAAGCAGAACAAATACATGTTGTACAGGTATTGTAGGACATGCATGCACGTGTAATTCCACAAGACTTTAGCCCTCCCATTAGACAACACAAAATACCGACTGTACATCAGATCGGACTGGTTGGTGCTAAGCACTTGGGTTGATATGTAATTTCCTCTTCATCCATCCCAGACAGGTGGGGCACTTCACAGAGTGGAAAGCTAATCAATTACAGAAAGCGAGCTCAAAACAAGGCAGTTCTTCATTAGCATAAAGCACTCAGCCTTCCAACTTCAAATGTGAATGCATTTGTGTACACTGGACTCAAATCCTGGCACTGAAGTGGTTCAGACTGCATATTTGTCCATGGCAGTTCATACGGTGTATTTGAATCTCCTGAAAAGGGAAACATATTAACTGATCCATGTCTTGTTTCTATGGTAACTGTTGCTAAGGACCGCAAAACACAGTAAGTTGACCAGCTGCATTGGCCAAGCCAAATACAAGAATGACAACATGGGAGTCATGGCCCTGTAAATAAACACAAGTCTCACATTAACAGACACTAAATCAAACCACCATGCTAGTTAAGTGGTGGTGCGAATTTGATCTGAATAATAAGCACAAGCAGTCCCCTGTATTTGGTTGATGTAGGCAACTTCCAAAGCAAATGTGGATTTACCCTTGACTGTCCTATCCCTCCCCTTCAGTCTGGATGGATGGCTTTAATACTGGCAAAGGTAGGAAGTTTTACATCTTTGCGTTTTGTCTGTTTATGAGGAGTCCTTATTAAAAAATACTATGTTTGTTTTAGCCATTCGCCTATGTAACCTCACAATGTGGCACAACAAAATTCATTTACATGTACCTGTAGCTTTATGCTTAAACCAAAACCCTGGTTATTGGTCTTGTAAAACATGCTTTAAGTACATGAACTGGTAGCTACATGTAGGTCTGTTTTAATAAATGGCCAGTCACAGTTATATTTGAAAGGGATGTCCATTTTTAGGTGTTGCTTATGTTTTATGATGATTACATAATAAGATAAGATTACACACCAGTATGAAAGTAAATAGCAAGATACTTTGGTGGAAGCATGTGAAAAGTGTTTCAACAGTTTACAAACACATTTGTGTGAAGACACAATCATAAAACGGTTTGCTTTGTTCAATGAATCAATCCTTTCATTGTGATTTTTCCCCAAGAACACTATTAACATGTACAGTGTACCTCATCTTCTAAAATTGCCAGAGACCCTCAGTTTTCAACAAAGATTCCACCACTGTAACACATACACAATCTTAAAAAGTGCCTTGAGCCCCCCCCAAAAAAAAAGAAAAAAGGGAAGGGCTGTTGGAAGATAAAACAGGAGTCGTCTCAATAAGACAGTATTCTAACAGCGCATGCCCACAATAAAGCATGTCTGGGGTCATTCGGACATGCATGCAGGGTCTGCCCTATCAGTAGTGTGGTTCAACGAGGACTCGCACATGTGCTTTGTTCCCGAATGATCTTGCTTTTTTGAAATACTGAACAGGCTCACTGAAACAGGAGATTTTATTATTTTAACATGTACATTGTACACCTGCAAAAAATGAGTTGTCACAAGAGGTGCAGGTTCCAAATTTATGTTGAAAGTTTACAATGCCACAATGTTTTTTCAGGTACTTTTTTTACTTTGCAACAAGCACTATACATTCTGTAAGTTTTGTAGTCTTAATGGGTAGCTGCAATCAATTTGTTTTAATACAAACCTTCAAAATGCATAGGTCTATGTGTATCTTAGCCTTATTTTCAACTTTGGTTTCACTATTTCGAAGGTATTTCACTGCCTGGTTGGTTTTTATGCTAGTGAAATTTCCACATGCATACGAAAACTGTGACGTCACCCCTGAGAGAAACCTCAACGTTACATTCGTTTGTATATCAAAGTCCTGCATTTTGCTAGACTCACTTTTTTTTACTGATTCACCTTTGTTTCTGTGCATAGCATTAAACAAACTTCCCTTTCTTGGAAACATTTTCAGTAAGTAAATTCTGGGTCCCAGTTTGAATAGAAAAGTCTATGCAATGAACTTTGTCTTCCCTAGGTGACATCACAGCGACACTACCCTCAGTTGCCATGAAAGCATGCATAATTGTAACTATTTCAAACAGTGCAAACAGTCAATGCATTTTAACTAAATAAGAATGCAAAGGAGGTTTCAAATGTACATGTACATAGAATAAGAATACAACAGTGGAGAAAAATTGTGTCTAAGAAAATTAATTGAAGCTACACTTTAAAGATACATTATTTGGAGATGAATATTGCTCAAAGGCCTCTTGGTTATTGTAAAATGCTGTAAAACTTGGCTCTGTCGCACAGTCTCATATGGAAGCATTGAAATTTTCTGCACTACCTGAATATTTAGACAAAAGTCCCAACTAAAATACATACCTAATGTCCTCAAAAGTGCTCTTTTGTTGAGGATTGGAAAAATTTGGAATTGAATCCATACAAGTACTCCTTCCTTGTCCTCTAAAATCTAATTAACCATGCGGTTGCATGAAAGGGGAAAAATAATTGAACCTTACTTCTTACAACCATCAAGAGAATTTTCTAAAACGACTTCTAACCTACAAATAACACATTTTTTTTTAGAGCCTTCTGTATTTTGTCTAGCACAGGAATACTTTTTTTTAAATTAAAAGGTAGCACCCCCCCAAAGATTCACAAGCAGTAATTTTTAAGATAAAATATTGATGGGAACCAACATGAACACATTCAGGTTATGGCACACATTCTGTCAATATCCCTGGTAAGAGTGGGAAATTACATTTAATTTGAAACCATTTAGAAAACTTTCCCATGCCGTTTAAACATGAAAATGTCCCACTTTTACCACAGTGCCATCGAAAACCTTAAGCACAACATGTTTACAATGTAAACAGTTGACACAAAGTTCCGGTGATGAATTTATGGTATTCCTTTGACATGTTTTGATAGCAGTAAAGTGTAAAATTACAGGCATGGTTTACAATAAAAACGAATGGCAGATTGAGTCAATCAAAAATCAAAGCTCTAAAAGGGGCAGTTGTGTTTAAACATGTTAAATGTTTGGGAAAATCTGTAAACGGATTTGGAACTTTTTTGTTTAAACGTGTAAAGTTTCCACCTTTAATCCCTGGCACATATATGTACTTTAAAACTGCAGCACTGGCATAGGTCAGGGTCACTGGTACATGCATATGTATGTGCACATTCTCTGTCAAGATCTGGTGCAGCACTTACAAAGTTTGACAGTTGATATTTTTCTTAGATTCTGACTGTTTATCCCAATATACATGTACATGTACGCAGACAGCCAAGCTCATGTACGAATGTGGTTTGGTTAAATCGCAGCCAGATGTTGAATTGCATGACATTTGCAACATTGGAAACGAATGGAAAATATGACATAGGCCTACTTGAAACATTTAACATTTGCAGTTGGATTGTAAAGATTTCTTTTAGATCGAGAAATAAAAAATTACATAGAGTGTACAATTACAAACCACATCAAAGGTTGATAGACCCTGATGATAAAATCTTTTTGGTAGGCCTACGACTTCCAAAGATGCTGGACGATTCGAAATTAAAAAACCTAAAGCAAAGTAAGTACCAGTACATGTACATGTATGGCAGCTGCTAGTACAGGTACTATTAATACTAGGAAGCACCCTCTTTTGTTTCACTCTTCTTTATTGGGACTCTACCACAATCTGGGTTCAAAGGTCGCAATCTTCAGGCTAGTTTTACCCAAGTTTTAACAACTTTTTCACAGGGCCTTAGCTTGCGTCACGAGTGACCAGGTGACAAATTACACCTTACAGTACAGGTTTCTTCCTTCCTTGCTCTATGCTTCATCCATGCACTTTTTTACAAAACGGTGTTCACCATGTTCACATGCTGATTCCCTCATCCTGCTTATGATGGACTTTGGTCTTGTTATCGTTACCTAAGCTTTAACAAATCCTTTGAACAAAAATTATTGGTGTGTTAGTAATAAATATTTTCATTCCTTTTCCTCACCCTGTTTAATGCTCTGTTTCGTTCTTCAATGACTTCTAGGAGAGTTAACCGATTGCTTTCGTACATTGAATCTGCTTTCGTTTCAGCCATTTCTGCTCGTGTAGCGTAGCAACAGAAAGCATAGTCCGGATGTAGCTCCATAGGCGATCGTAACAACTCTCGCATAAAATAGTGCTTCATGTGAGGCAGGGGTAAGACTTAATAAAACTCGTTGGTCTCGCCAAATCTCAACTTAATTTTTTTTTCGTTTGTTAATACTGCAGTTTATGCTGAGGAAACGTAGCACAGCTTAGCGATGCAACGACAGCTCATATCCAACTTTTTACTTAGTAATAGTAAGTCAAGTGCTTGTTAATTTAAAGAGATTTTAGAAAAATCACATGACTCACGGGATTTTAATTTTCAAGATGGCTACGCTCACAGACGTCAAAGGTTGATCCAGTCAGTCAATGATCAGACTTCTTGGGGCCTGGAGAGCTGAATCATACACCTGTAATGGCAGTTTTATTGTCGTAATGAAACTTTAGTCTGTACAGACACGATAGAGTAAGTTTATGTTGGACAAGTTACAAGATGCGTACACACTTGCTTTATGCAAAACCTGACTAGGCATCCCCGAAGGGGTCGGCACGCCCAACCACGGACATACAGTAAACGCATAGACCACCAGATCCTATTCAAAACTGCAAGGGCATGAACGGTTTTTCGTTATCTGCAGGGCACCCGACTAAAATCAAAACTATGGGCAAATTCACCCGCGGTATAGGGAATTTTAGCCCCACATGTGGGGCCTAGTGGCTCTCTTTTACAATCAGTCTCTTGTCGCCACCACAGCCCTACTTCAACTTTCAAGGCATGTCTTTAATGCCTGAAATCCAAACTGCAGGATTGTCTCAAACTTTGAATCCTAATATCTTCCGAAATGAGAATGACTCAACAATTTTACTTACACCTGTGTATTCCTCAGAGTTTGGACTTTAATATGAGCACGCTAAAGCTTTCCCAAACTGTATATTTCCCGGTGTAGGCCTATGGTGCATTGAAAAACCCGGCCTGTGATATTTATGTGCTGACAGTGGGCAGTGCCATTTGGGAAAACGAAGGCAGTGCTTCATGCGTTGGATATCAAAGCGCCTGACTGGCGCTTTGGTATAGGTTGTACCATACAAAACTGGTTCCCCGTCACCTTGTGCGACAGATGAAAAAGGAACTGGTGGAATTAAATTTGAATAAAATTAATATGCATGTTACTGTACCATGCTCCACACACTGTGGGCGTGCTGGGCACTAGCAAAGTGCACGCGAAACTTATTTCTAAGCAATACTGTTACAATATGAATTATGCATCTACTGCACCTGTCGGGTGCCTTGACTTCCGACGCATAAAGCACTGCCTTCGTTTTTCAAAATGGCACTGCCATGAGCCACAGTATGTTTTTTTAAAAATCATACCCCCTCCCACGCAGAGTGTACACATGGCCCTCAATCCCCTCCCCTTTCCCTTGTGCTGCATATGTGTTATTAGGTGAACACCCCTAATCCCATTGATGAAAAGTTTGTGTTCAATCAATGGGGCTGGATTTTTAATATAATAATGTAATTTGTTACCATTTACAGGTGCATACCATGGATTCTTCATTTCCATTTGGGATAACTAATCACCAGCTAGTTCAGCCTCCATTCCGTGGAATACAGTTTGTGAGATCAACTTTTAAAGATGGTAAGTCTTATGTAAACAAACAAAGTTCTGGGGTCCTTGCAGAAGAGGGTTGCACCACTGCAGCTGGAAAGGAGGCCAGAGATTTTTATGAAAGTATAGTATCTATGGAGGTCTCAAATGACTGCACAAGTACCTCATCAGAAAAGCAGCAAAATTCCAAAAGAAAAGGCCTGCAGTCCATTCGGAAGAGGAGGAATATAAGTGCTAGTAAGCATTTAAGGCCATCAGGTAGTCAGAGGCAGTCTGAACGGGTTCACACAAGAAACGTCAATAACTTCTTGCGACATGCACAGGAAGGTGACGTCCAAAGTTTAGCGACACTTCTTGAGGATGGCAATGTCGACATGGACGTAGTTGATGGTTTCAACTGGACGGCCTTAATGTGCGCAAGTTACAGCGGTCAGTCGAATGCTGTGGAGTTCCTCCTCGAGAAAGGGGCATTGTGGGAACATGACCGAGACAAGAGTGGTCGAACAGCATTAGATCTTGCCAAGATGGCTGGCCACATTGACATTGTCAGGATGCTGACGGATCACCTAACACCTGAGGATCAGCAAGAGCAGCCTCCAGAGACTAACGAGGACAAAAGCTTCTGGTGTGAGGTTTGCAAAGTTGAATTTCGGGATTCAAGCAAACGGGAGCACCAGTCCTGTACCGTGCATCTGTTTAACTGCAAGCACAAACCCCAGTCGACCCACTACTACCTCCCTGAGAGCAACGTGGGATTCAAGATGATGATGAAAGATGGATGGGACAAGGAGCAGGGTTTGGGTCCTGATGGGAGTGGACTTAAGTTTCCCATCAAAACTGTACTAAAGCGAGATCGCAAGGGTTTGGGGGCAGAAAATAAGGACAAGGAGTCTGCCAAAGCAAGGATCACACACTTTGAACAGTTTGATGTCAGGGCTGTAAAGAAACCCACTCAATCAATGGGAAAGAAAATGAGAACTTCAACTCTCAATAAAAATACTCGAAAGAAGATGCAAAACAAAGATCGAAACTGGGAGAGAGATTTTAGACAGTCCTTTAATCTGGAATTATGAATAACACCAGAATACTTCTAAAGGGTAGCCGCAACCAATTTGTTTTAATACAAACCTATAAAATACACCTTTGTGTTTCCGTCAACCTTATTTTAAAATTGTTTCACTATTTCAAAGGGTATGTTACGGTGTACTGCCTTTTATGATTTTTATGCTGAGTATTTCCATATTCATGAGCAAAACTGGGATGTTATCTGAGGAAGATAACAATTTTACATTGGTTTGTGCACGAAAAAATCCAGCATTTTTATAAATTTTGCGGGACTAAGTTTTGTTTTCATAGTTATTTATTGTTTATATGCATAGGAATAAGTAAGCTCCAACTCGGTTCTCGGAAATGTTTTCAGTAAGTAAATTCTGGGCTCACAATTTTGCACAACAAAATATGTGCATTGATTTATGTGTTCCTTAGCCCTAAAGGTCCTAAGTCCTCCAACAGGTGAAGGATTGAGGACTGTTAGGGTAAATGACATCACAGCAACAGCGCCCTCAGTTGTCCAGGAAAACATGGGTAATTTTAAGTTTTAACAAGTGCACTTTTCAATGCATTTTACCGAACAGGAGTGTAGAAGACCTTTCATACACTATAGTAGAGTATAAAGTTGCAGAAAAACTGAGCCTAAGAAAAATTCATTGCCGCTTAATTAAGGCATTTCATATAAAAGTACGTGTTTCTTCAGATCATGTGAAAAGTAAATTCCCATTAAATACAATAAACTACATGTAAATGCAATAATGGAGAAGTTCTGTGTATATGAAGAAGTTACACAAACATTTCACAAATTATTTATTGCCAAGGCTATGTTGGTTGGACTCTTTTTGAAACAAAGCATTATTCAGCTGAGTACAATGACCACTTTCTTGTTGGATACTGTCTCACGTCAACATGTACATATTGGAAAAGTCAATGACACACTGGATATTTCATGACATCCTCAAATTATTAAACCAGGTGAGCATCAGGAATGATTTTGAAATATTTAGGGAAACAATTTTATGACCTAATTTTCAAAGCGCAACTTTTAGAATTATGACTTTCATTATTCCACCACTGATTCAGAGCCATTTATAGAGAGAGTTGCGACATGAGTGTCATCATTGTTGGAGACAAACTGGCAGGTGTATACCAATGTACAAGGACAGTCGGTATACAATAGCCACACCCTCTACTTTACATATAATGAACAATTTTTCGTTTCCAAAATCTGAAGCTGGCACTGCTCTCTATATACAGCTCTGCTCTGATCCAGTAAAGAGCACCAACAGAGGGCAGCAAATTACATTTACAGCGGAGAGCCTGTCGTAAACCCTCGAGAGGGCTTGTCAAAGAGCTTTTCGATGCTGTTAAATATGTGTATACCTAAAGCTCTTAAGTGAGTTATGACATTAAAGGTACATGTAGTCAGTCTTAATTTAGCTAATGATACCTGTGCAATTTGCTCCCAAATTTTGATGAGCAAAATGTCTTAGTTAACAAGTTACAATGATTACCATTATCACAAATAGGTCATTTGGGAGACACTTTGTGGTAAATTTTTCAACCTTAGGGAGACATCGGTCATTAAATGCTCCAACTACCAGAAGGAAGCCGAATTTTACTGTCCAAATTTTGAGAGAAGATAGATTAGGGTCTAAAATGAAAACATGCAAAGTTTGGTGAAGATCGAATTAGGGAATATTGAATTATGGGTCAGTACAGTTGGAAAAATTTTGTGCACATTCTTGTGGGAATGTCTCCCTAATGACCCATTTTCGGTAATCTCCATAACTGAATGCAGATAACAAGGAAAGCACAACCAATCTCCACAGTTTGGCATTTTTGTTCAGACTGACGAAACAAGAACCACAAAAGTTGTAGTTTGATAAAAAGTCATACATGTATCTATACATTAAAAAAGTTCTATATGTAATGTACATTCAAGCACTGCAAGTGATCTGCCTCTTATTTTTCAATTTCATTTCTGAGATTTCAAGATCTGGTAATTTCCACAACTATACATGAAAATAAAACAAAATTATTTATCCCAATAGTCCAACACTCAGTCATGCATGCATACTGCACAAGCACCTGAGCCTGGTTTCCACAAGTCAGACTTGGCATCGAGATGTCTATCCTTTCAGAATTTATCAATTTGATGTGGCGTTTCAGGTCTCAAAGCAAGTCCATCCGATGCTATGATGTGGCTTTGGTTTCCACAGATGATGGGCGGCTGTCCTTTACGAATGCACGGATATACCATTCTGGTATGAACTGCTGTCCGTCTGCCTGGTGCACTGTGTAGGAGATGACGTTATTACCTGGCTTCCGCTCAAAGAGGTAAACCACACTAGTAGACAGAGGAGACAGAAACAACATATTTTGAAAATGAAATACATAAATACACCTTAAGTTCAAGTGACAAAATGAACATGTACATGTTTATGATGGCATTACTGTCAAGTACATGTAGCTTGATACAGGTTTGCAACTACCTTGCAACTACACACATATATGGATAAGCTTGAACTTGCTTTGAATGGGACTAGGCCTTTATTCTTATGGCTTTAAAGAACAGCGGTGCTTGATGAACCCTGTGAATGAACACTGTCCAGGCTTCTCCCTTACCAGGAGTACTGTAAGTATGAGTAATGAGTGGACTAGAGTTATGTACATGACTGAGGTCTCAAAGAGCCACTGCATAGGATGGACAATGGTGGGTGATCTGTTGTCAAAGGAAGATGAGAAGTTCCGGTGGCGGTCACACCCTGTGATGTAAGCCCTAGAAAATTAACTTCCTTGCAGGTAAGATGATTGAATATTTCTCTTTTTTGGTTAAAGTAGTCCATGGACTTACCTTGGGTCATCAATGACAGTCACTGACTTAATAAAGTCAAGGAACTTCACCAAGAAGTTGAAGCATACTGAGCCATTCCACCATCCCTGTTTGGCAACAATAATTATTTCAGCAATATTCATCTACATACTCTTAAACTTCGAAAGCTCTGCTTTGAAGGGTGGATTACTTTTAACTTGGTAATACATGTGCATGTATTGCCCATGGAAACAAGATATTTCTCTTGTCTCTTGTGTATCGAAGAGTGGCTAGGTTTAAAAATGTTTGTCTGAGGTAAAGGCAAAGATGATTCAGTGGTAAAAGTCACAAGACGGAAATCTCTACAATCTGTATACTTTCATCTCACTCCTTTTTGACTTAACACCACAATGGGCATGCATTATTTGCTGGAATGGTAGGTTAAAATGTCGTTAAAAGAAAAAAGTAATGCCAACACAAGGGTCTGATGCCTTGCACAATGTTTTTGTATTTTCAGGGTAGCTTTGTCCGAATCTAGCATTTAAGAACAATGCAATGATATTTTCTTACAATCAGTTTTGTGCAGACATCAATGTATGAAGACTACAGTGGCTGATCTCTGCCAAGAATACATTTTTTTATTTTATGACATTATAACGCCCTAATAGGGTGTTACTACGCCATAATAGGGCGTTATAATGCCGTATTAGGGTGTTATAATGCCGTAAAATCAAAAAGTGCATTCCTGGCAGAGATCAGCCACCGTAGAAGACTGTGTTGAATCTTATATTGAGTAAGGTGGACTGAAACATGCATTTTTAAACATTCAAAATTAAACAAGCATTTCCAGACAAGTGAGGGTGCTTTTGTCTTGATGTAAATCCAGGAAGATACTGTTTACTTTGCATGTTTTCCTGCTGTGAACTCCAAATTTGCCATTTGAAAACATTTCTGAAAAAAGGTTGCTCACGGCCATATACTTCCACAACAATAAATTGCCAAAGGAAATGTTATCTACGAGAGCAGTGTTTAAAACATCTAGAGATTCTTTGTGCATAAATTAGTGCAACACTGAGATTCAGTGCCTTGGATGACATCATAGTTTTGCTCACGAATATGCAATGTACATGGTCATAACAACCAGAAAAGCTCCAAAATATGAGTAAAAATAGTAAAACAATAATTCAAAATTGGGTTTATTGAAACTGAAAGGCACAATTTCAAGGACTTTAGTAAAATTTAGTAAAAATTTTTATTTCATCGTCTCTTTAAGCTTTTGGCTATGTAGAGATCAAGTGAGATGTTAATGCTCACACCCCCCAAGATCTACAGCCAAAAGAGCCTTATTTTGATGAGGTCTTTATTTACCATAGATAATTTGGGCATCTGCATTGTCTTGAAGTGTTTGATCTCCCGAACCACTCCCTCGTCGTCCCGGAAACCACAAATGACCTGTGGAATGCCAACCAGGAAGGACTGGGCCCACCATTTCACCAACTTGTACCTGAAAAATACATGTAACAGAAAAAAGATTCAGAAAATGACAGAAACTGGTGGTGAAACAAATCTGCATGTATCTTCCCCACCTGTCTGAATTTCTTACTGCTTTGATGAAGACTAAGAGCACCTCACTTTTCATTTTCGTCATGATGACAGATACATGTATACACGTTAGGCACAATGCTTAGGAACAGTCCACAAAAAAAGTGAATATCAGTGGTTTATTGGGAAGATCATTAGATGGCATTTAAACATTTAAACCAAACGCGCTTCTAACAGGCCACTGCTCAATAAGCAGGCACAAAGACCAGTGCATGCAGGCTCACTGTACTTGACCGTCTTAAGAGTGGACCATCGAGCAATCTGGATAATCACCAATGGGATCCACCTCCACTGTGTACCTGTAGAAATTGTTCTCGTTCTTCTGAGAGTACCACTTTCGACTGGTCTTCAGCTCTAAGTAGTTGCCCGGTGGCTTATCTTTGGATACGGACTGGAGACAATCAACCTCCCCGCTGTAGAGGAGTTTGTAGGGACCAAGGTCTGACCGAACCACGCTACAGAAGGCCTCAATGTTGTTGACCGGTTGACTTGTGTCGGGTGATTTCTTACCATCTTTAGAAACCAGAAAAATTAGATTTACATGAAATTAACTGTTTAACACAATCATTTCATTAAAAGTTGGACTGACCCTAATGCACAGCTCAAACATAACTTTTGTTAATCTGAGGGGTGAATGCTGAACAGTGAAATGAAGGATACTGAGAAGATGCAACCCATGGGTGACCCAAGGTTCAGTGCCAGAAACCGTCTGGGCACTGTCTGTGTAGTAATGTCAATGTAGAAATTATGCAAAGCTGAATCGGCACTGCCACACCTTTCAATCTGACAGGATTCAGCTCCAAGTTGAGTTTGCCACTGACAGAATCCTTGATTGGGCTTTATGCTCACAGATACCACTTAAAATAGGTTTTTCAATATTTTCTAGTTTCCATCTGGGTGAAACACCTCTTTAATGGCAGCATCCTGCTTTAGACATGGATGCCTTGTTCATGACGGAAAGTGCTGCTGAAACATGAAATTCTATAAGCCTCTAACACGTCTTTTCATCTCACCACTAGTGACATACTGCTCAAATTTGTAGCCCCCGTACATGCACTGCTGCTCCCAGTGATTCATGCCCAGCCTGCGCTGTCTCTCCTCTTCCGTCTCAACCTCGCTGATGTAGATGGTCCCCCGAAAGAGCGTCGCCGCCATCTCCCATCCGTCGCGATTCTCATAGGGTGTGCAGAGGAACTTGGTGAAGTGGCCACGCCAGGCTATGAAGTCAATACCTAGGCTGTGAGCAAGAAGAGCTGTGGTGTTTAACTGCCGGGAATCGTGCCTGATGCAACAGGTTGCAACAGATGTATAAAACTGTCAGACAATGAAAGCCAGCGACATTCAACAATGCTACAGTAAACTATTGGATCCTCTGTTGGCTGTCCCCTGAAGGTGAGGACACTCCATTTAGGCCTTTTTGACATTGCGACAGTTACATGTAACTTTCAGGCTTCTCAAAGTGATATACGTATGTCACTGCATGGAAAAAGAAGAGAAAGATTGCCATATCCAGCCTCCACCTCAGTCCTCATACATGTACACAAAGTCTAAAGGCCATGACAGAACAAGTTAAAGTCCAAGTATTTTCAAATCTCAAATTTTTTCACTTATAAATTAGTGTTTTTTCAATAGATTTAATATACATTTTGTAGTAGTATGCAAGTCATTTTAAGGAAGATAACAGACAGGCGGATGTGAAACTCTTTCCAAAATGAGTCATGCCTACCACTCCATACATTCCATGTTTTTTCCCCCAAAATGTACAAACTTGTCATGTTTGTGACAACAGGATCTGCACAGATATATTTGCCCCTTTATACTGGCATTGCTAGGGTGAGCTAGTCAGGGCCAGGCAGTGCCAGTGATACCTTTCTATCAAGTCATCATCCTTGATGTCGTAACACACACTGACGTTTCTCTGTGGTCTCAGAAAATGTTTCTTATTGTGGACTATCCATTTCATGACATTATCCAATCTCTCCTTCACATCGTCATCTCTCTTAACAAATGTTTCGAACCCTTGTCTAAGATCCAGATTAAGGTCCGATTCTTTGCTGAGCGGGTGATAATGTTTGAGATGCCTGTTGTCATTTGCAAAAGTCCTGTCAATCTCCAGCGAGAAATGACCGAGTTCCTGAGGCCGGCTGAAGAAGGGAAACTCTCCAATAAAATCTGAGGTGGGCTTGACTGCAAAAGTTCTTAGCACCACTGGTTTTGAACAAGTTAACTTTCCCAACGAAAGCCTAGGCCTATCACCAACAATGCCAATGACCCGATTATCAGTATGTGTACATGTAGTTGTAGTTGTACATGTCTGGTCAGTGTGACGCTTCACACGCTTAGTGGAACGCTCTTCATCCAGTGCATCACCGTCTTCTTGAGATCTTCTAACGTTAGATCTTTTCATTTTTGTAAATTAGCTTAATAAAGTTATAACATGTGTACGTGCACACAGCTTGAGAACCACACTAGGCACAGGCGACGAAGCCACACATTACCGCGTAAGCGCTAATGAACTATACACGGTACAGTATGTAGTTATCGTTGCACTAGCATAAACAAACACGTACTATACTGCATGTGATACCAACGCGGTCTGTGCACACGTAATGATCAGGCTATCAGCGCTGAAATTGCACAAAACTTTATGGAAACTGGCTGCGGCCACGACCGTAGACTCGTGTGAGATTTCTAGCCGCAGCCAAGCGCTCGGTGTCTGCTTGATTGACTTGCATATCACCTTTGACCTTCTCGGCTCAATCGACAAGAGCGCCATGAATGAACGTGTACGAACGTAGGCCTAGAACGCTAGAACCTAGCGCATTACACTTTTGGGGCCGTACGCAGAGGAAGACTTCTTGTGGAGTTTTTACACTTCCAACCATTCAACCATCAGCAGTGTAGTCGTAAGTCATGCATTCTTCGAGGATTGAGGCCTTGGCTCTGTTGGAAACGCCAGGAAGACTCTGTCACTAACCATGCACTGACCTCACTGACACAGTGCCACTGGTCATGACATGACATGTGTCAGTCTGGGGGCCGATTTCCGGACACTCAAACACCATGAACACAATGCATGGTAGGGCCTACATCATACATGTACAATGATGTAGGGGACCTACATGTAAGCCTGCATTGATTTTTGGGGAGTGATCGGGTGATATGCACCATCATGTCACGTCATCGCTCGATCTTTCCATAATCAGTCCATCTCACTGCATCATGATTTGTAACATAGTTCCACCATGTCCACGATCAGTCTAATGTTATTTGGGCCTACTGTACATCTTTTGTTTCTATGAAAGCATAGTTCCGACTGTTAAAGATTGTTTCGACATGTTCAAACAAAAAGGGTGATTTTTTTTAAAGGTTTTCCCCATCCCATCCCATTCATCTCAGCTGCTACTCCAACCCTAATTCCCTATACCCTCATCCCATCCTCCTGCTCCACCCCCATGCCATCATCCCGTCCATTTCCTCCACTTTCCCCATTCCATCATCCCATTGTTATCCATCTATTACTCTGCTGTCCATCCGGATCCAATCCATCTCTTCTCTGCACCCATGCCTACATCATCCCACTTATCTCTTGATCAGCCCTCCATCCCACCCAACACCTACTCTGACCCCATACCATCACCCTAATCCATTTCTTTCTCTGCCCCATCCCACCCATTTCCTACTCCACCTCCCAATCCCATCCATTTCCTTCTTGACCCCCATCCCATCTTCCATCCATCTCCTCATCCTTTCATCCCATCCATCTCTTACTCTGCCCCATCTCATTTGCATCCTTCTGTTTCTCTATCCCCTTCCCATCGATTTCCCACCTGCCCCATCCCATTATCCAATCTATAGACTTTTTCGCCTCCCATTCCTTCATCATCCCATCGGTCTCTTACTCTGTCCTCTCACCCCATCCATTGCCTATTCCACCCCATTCAATTATCCCATCCATCTTCTACTCCACTCTATCCCTTAATTCCATCCATATTCCATCCCCCACCATCATGTTAATCCATCTCTTACTCTTCCACCATCCTGTCTTTATAATTTCATCATTCAATCAATATCTTACTCTGTTCCCTCATCCCGTCTATCTCCTCTCACCCCACCCATCATCCCACTCATCTAGCACATGTGGCATACTATTACCCATAAACCCACAAGCAAAGACTTTAACATTAGGCGGACAGCCAGCCATATGCCTGCCCTGACCGCCGAAGTGACAGACAGACTTACCGGTATTGGTATTACATAGGTTCACCAAAGAGGGAAGTAAAATAGGAGACTTAATGCAGAATCGACCAATTGTGCAGAGCGATTAAGCAATCGTGCAGAGCGATTGAGCGATCATGCCATTCGGTCCATCGAGCTGAACATAAACACTGTTATGCAAGCAAAGTCTATTCTGGATGTATGTGTACATGTACTGTTATGCTGTAGTTTTCTGGCTGTTAACGATCAGTCTTCATTTAACATTTTCTGCCAGTTTGGTCAGTGCTTAGTGCTGAGTGCCACTGGTGTAGCCCAAGTACATGTAACTAGGATTCTATGATTTGCCTCTTAAATTGGACATACATGTAGCTGGCAATAGTGGCCTTCCATATCCAAATGAATACTATTGATGTACCGTGAGAGTACATGCACCTGTAACTATGGGCATGGGGGGGGGAAGTGGGCATTTGCCCTGCAGCAGTTATGTGCCCCTTGGTGCCTCCCAGTTTGAAATGTAGTAAACATGTAGTAAACATTTGTGAACATGTTAGGCATGATCAGTCGCTACAACGTGTGTACGGTTGCTCGATCTTTGCAAGATCAGCACTCAGATCGGTGGACTGGATCTTTGCACAGTTCGTTGATAATTCTGCTGTCAGCTAATTGATTTTCTTTCTAATTCACAGTTGTGAAAGATTGTTTCAAAAACATGAAGTTGGAGATTTTATACATACAGGATCGACCAGTTGTGCATGTTGCCCTGAGCTCTCAGGCAATTATGCCGAACACGTACACAACCTATTCATTTTCTTTCAGTGTCCCCTTTTTAAACATGCCTTAAAAAGTCTGTAATATGCCTTCATCCGGCTTGTCTTCACCAGACTGCTAACTTGACATTTGTTTTTTATCAGCTGAAGGCAATGAAGAGGTCCCGGGTGCCAGACGCATTTAATAGCAGGAGAAAGTTCAGAGTCACAAGGACCTCTCACAAGTGGGAGGACTCGAGTATTTCTGGTGAGCAAGATTGTAAGAAATTGGGTAATTCCAGCAATTAGGGGTCCATTTTTTAGGTCCCTGTCACATCTTACATACGATTTTGTAAGTTCAGAACACATTTTCTAATTTCCAAGAGTGATGAATTAATGCAAATTACCTGCCAAACAAATAGTAATAGTTTGAAATCAGTTCCGGTGATATTTCCATGTCAAATATAAAACAAAGGTCAGATGAAACAGAAATGCAAAAATGTCACACTTCTGGACCCCTTAATTCTGGAATTACCCATATGCCCGCTGTTTCAACCCTTGCTTTACAACACTCTGTACATTTGTGTATTGCATATGTTACATGTTGTTACTGATCTGCATGTTTCAAATCTTGCTCTCTAGTTAATGCTCATTTAGCAAAGTGGACAAACTAGTTACATGGATCTAATTTCTGTTTTCTTTTAGCATCAGAGGTTCCAAGTGATACTAAAGCAGCTCTGCTGTACTTGCGTTCCTTGGTCAACGTTGAGGTGTTTGAGAACCGCATTCCCCCAATCGTTTTCAAGCAGCAGGTGTACAGCATCGTCAAGTGCAAAACGACAGCTGACAAGCACATAGTAAGATACTGGCCAGCACTTTCGATGACCTTAACCTCCCAAGGGTTGCTGGCCCTAACTTTCCCCATTCACACAAAGTTAAACACCCATATGGGACTTTGTGCACAGAGGCTGTTGGACTTTTTCTGAGGTATGTCAAACCCAATGCAAAAGCCAGCTGTTATGGGCCTACCAGACCTATCCCCACAGAATTAAACACTTTACTACTGTTTAATTCTGTGTGGTTGGGGAAGATTAGGGTTAAACGACATGTCATTCTCCCATGTTGAAATGCTTTCTTAGCCCCTGTCATTACAGAAAAAAAATGTAAGAAACCAAAAAATCAACTAAGAACACATGCATATGAGAAGTAGGTAGACAGAATGGGTTATTAGCCCAAGGAGTAGGGGGTAATAAGGATGATGTGCTTTGGGTAGTGACATTAGTAGATAGTGGCTTGATTCCTCCAGTCTCTGAAAGACTTCCATTTTAGAGATGGGGTTGTTTCGAGGAGTTTGTGTGTGCTTTGTCATATGGCGCAAAATGGGGAGTGAAGTGTGTGTTTTTTATTCATGTGCTCTTTTTCTCAAATTCATTTGATACAAATGTTACATGTAATGTTCTATTTCAGAATGACTTGAGAGAGAAAAAAGAGATCAAGCTCTTTCGCTTGGGTAAGGAATCAGACACTTTTGCTATCGTCTTTACTGATGACTACCGCGAGCATGTCAGGAGGACTGTGCCTGACAGTTCTGCCAAGGATCGCTTCCTGGACACGGTCCTGGAGAAGACGTCAGACGTCAGCCTGGACAGGAAGACAATGTCAGATCTTGGTTTCAAGGATGAGGAGATCACGTAAGAGTTGAGCTGGTTTGCTTCACGGTCTGGACTGAGGGCATTAAGGCCACCAGGTTCCATTTCAGAGATACCGCTTATAGAGTTTCGAGTTATGGGGTATTCAGTTGCATAAAAATCATATTCTTT